TTGCTGGCTGAGGAACTCTGGGAGTTGAAGTCCACAGCTGGCTGAGGAACTCTGGGAGTTGAAGTCCACAGCTGGCTGAGGAACTCTGGGAGTTGAAGTCCGGAAGGTTTCAAGTTCCCAATTTTGGAGACCCCTGGTATGTATGTGTGTATATATCTATATAGTCTCCTGCCTGGGCAGCAGGCGGGACTAGAAGACGCCCCCCAAGGCCCCTTTTTCCATCTCCGACTCGGATTATACGGCCTATTTTGTCTCACGTGGGCTTAGGCCCGGCCTCCTCATTGGGAAAGCGGGGCGGGGAGCAACAAGAGAAAGGCCTGAGGGTCTTGCGCGTGGGGGGGTGGCGGGAATGGGGTCACAAGATGGTGGCCGGTCGCGTGCTGCCACACCCACATGCACACCCACGCCGGACTCGCCTCCGCGGTGTGGGCCTGCTGGGGCGGCTGGGCCTGGGCCGGGGCCGGGGCCGGGGCCGGGGCCGGGGCCTGGGCCGGGGCCTGGGCCTGGGCCCGGGGTCCCCTCACGAATCTCCGGCGGAAGAAGAAGGGCGGGGGGCGCCTCCTGCGCGGGCGCTGCTGGACCCCGTCGTCCGCCCTCTCGCCCTCGCTGACCGTCTCGCCGCCCGCCTCGGGCCGGCCGGCGGAGGCGGCGGCGGCGGGGTCGGCGGGCAGCGGGGCCTGGCGGGAACGCGGGATGTACCGGCGGAAGCGACGGCGGTTGGGGGCGTAGCGGCTGCCTTTGACAGGGACCCCGCCGGGCCCGGTGACGTTGGCCGCTTCGGCCCCCTGCGAGGAGGAAAGAAAGAAAAAGAAAAGTCAAGTCAGGTCGCCCGGCCACGAACCATCCCGGCTCTCGGACGGCGGGGCCGGGAAAAGCCGCCGCGCGGGCCTCACCTTCTCGCCTTCCACCACGTCGAACTCCACCGTCTCCCCATCTCCAACACTTCGCAGGAATTTACGAGGATTGTTTCTCTTGATCGCCGTCTAGGGGGGGAAAAAAGCCGAGAGAGGGACAGAAAGAAAGAGAAAGAGAAAGAAAGAGAGAAAAATAGAGCGAGAGAAAGAGAGAAAGAAAAAAGAGAGAGAGAAAAGAGAAATCGAAAAATAGAACAATAAAAAGAGAGAGAGAGAAAGAGAAAGAAATAGAAACAGAGAGAAAAGTACAGAAATAAGAGAAATAGACAGAGACAAAGAGAAATAGAAACAGAGAAATAGAGAGAGAGAAATAGAAAGAGAGAAAAATAGAAAAGAAATAGAGAAATAAGAGAAAGAGAGAGAAATAGAAACAGAGAAATAAAGAGAGAAATAGAAATAGAGAGAAAAGTAGAGCGAGAAATAGAAAGAAAAAAAGAAAAAATAGAGAAATCGA